TAGCTAAATGCCCTGAAAATTTACAGATGTGTACTTCACATTATACAAAACCCACTAAAAAAGTTTCAAAAAATAATAAAATTGTTTAGACCCCGAACTAAAGTGAAAACAACAAGTGAAAAGTGAAAAAAATACGTGGGCGAGCACGTTTTGACACCGCCATCTTTGGCGATTTTTAGTTCTTATTTGGCTTAGCCAAATGACTTGAAAATTTACAGGCATGTACCTCACGTCATAGAGAACTCACAAAAAAAAATTCAGAAAAAATTAATGATGTTTAGGCCCCGAAATAATTTTTGGCGGGGGCCGAACGCCGTCGGGTTCGGACCCCGTACGGGACCCCGAACGCCCGTACGTACGGAGGTCTGCCCGGGGACATCCGTACGTACGGGCTGGTGACCCTGATACCAATAATATTGAGATTAGCTTTAGGCTACTTGGGCCACCCGTCCGCTCAACCAGGCAAGTCACCCGGCGGGTCGGACCCCTGGGGTACCCAGGCATGGGAATAACTGGGGTCAATTCTTTTTTTTTTTGGGAGCGGGGGGTGGCGGTGGGCGGTTTCCATGCATGCCCAGAGGAATCCCAAATCCGGGCTCTTTTCTTTTTTTTTTCGAGTGTTGCCCAAATTCGGGCTCTTTTTTTTTTTTTTTTTTCGAGTGTTGGTTGTAAAGGACGGCCAAGGGTCGTCAGACTCGTCACTTTTAGGTAAAAGGCAAGAAACAGGGGTCAAGACTCAAGACTCATAAGTCATGTCCCAAGTCTGAGAAATGTCTGAGAAATGTCTGAGAAATGTCTGAGAAATGTTTGAGAACTGTCTGAGAAATGTCTGTCTGAGAAAGTGCCTATGGCCAAGGGGTACCAGGCAGGGTCTGAGTCAAAAGCTGTGCCTAGTACCCCAACGTGAGACAGTTGAGGCTTGGAACAGCAAGCGTCAACCCCACCCAGCACGGAATTCCAGGCCCAAAGTCAAAGTCAAAGTCAACCCGCTGGTCGGCCACGGCCGTCGATCAGAGGCACATCTTTGTTTGTCTGCAGGGATCCAGAAGATTCCAGTCGAAATGGGACACGAGGGAAATTGAGAACTGCAGTGCATCTGGACGGCCATTGGCTTTCGATTCATCTGGGCCGTCGACCCAAGGAGAATGAAGGCTGGTCAACGCGAGTCAACCCTCTAAAGAGTTGACCAGAACGCGGTGGAGGTCATTCTGCCTTGCGCTGGCTTGTTGCTACCTTCTGCACCCAAATACAACGTACGGTCATTATATCTGTATTTGGGGTGCATGGGTCCGGTGGACCATCTCACGCCAAAATGTATAGATCATGCAACTTCGTCACTCTCAAAGAACTGTAGCCATCACTCTTAGACAAGGGTAGGAGAGAAGAATGCTGCATGACGCAGCTTATATTATCAAAATTATGTTTACAAAAAAAA